CGGTCGATTATCTTGTATATTCAGTTTTGAGCTCGTAGGTCGAATGATTCCTAGAATAAAACACACAGCCCGCCTTTGAAATTGAAAACAGAGAAAGCGTTTTCAAATMGATCTTCCAATTATACTCTATACTTGACTCAGTTGACTCTATCGCGAAGTCGTAGTCGAAGTCGTCTTTCGTATTAATTGAAGTTCAGACAATTTTCAATTCCAAACTCAACAAACTAGCGAAGAACTAGATGCTAAAAGGAAAATAATAAGGACGATTACTCATCTTACTAGATAAATTGAGCATTCAAAATATCAACAAGCATAAGGAGGGCACAGGAAGACCAATCTAAATATTCGAAAAGTGCAACAAGTATCCACGAGTTCGCCAAAGGGCGTTTGATTCGTGTTTTTACCAAAATGTCTTATGAAATATGCAAATTAAGTACCGAAATAAACGATAACTATTAACCATTATTACTTGCTTGAATTTTACTATATCCGGTGTTAACATACTAAATATGTTCTTATTTTCCATTTTAAACTACTTTGAAGTAAAATCGTCTCCAAAAAATACGCTATGATGCGTGTGACGCGGTATATGAACTGTTTTGAAGTTTTATGCAAATTACTTATTGATAATGTAAACTAATTTTTCTAAATTATATTTTCCAAAACTGTATTTCTTTTCTTTTTCTTTTTTGAAATAACCTAAAAACTTGTCAAAAAGCATCTATTTTAATGTATCTGATCTTCTTGAACTGCCCAAACTAAGGAAAATAGTCAAAATACAATTTATCTACCACGACGGAATGAACAACTTAGTTCAAAACAAGTGATTAAATACGAATTAAATCTAAGATTTTAGGTTAATTAGGTTAATTTTACGTCCTAAATCTCCAGATTTTCGATTTCAATGAAAGACATCCGAGGTAAATTTCACTAAACTTGATATTGTATTGGATTATCTGTAGTTATCTTTCGTTTTTCTTAAAGTAAAAGAGATTCAAAGCCTAAAACTGTCGGCCTTGGAAAATTTTGTCGAAGAAAATAACAAAACTAGCCGCTGAGGGTGGTGGTGAGTCGTGTACAAAATTCCTAAGTGGGAGAGTATACTCGTGCGCGAAAAAAACAACAACAACAACAAAAAAACAAAAAAACAAAAAAACCAACAAAAACAACAACAACAACAAGAAGAAAAAACAACAACAAAAAAACAACAATGTACTGCATTTAGATTCGATTTCACTGCATGGTTTTTATTGTGGGAGAAATTATCATCATCTCGAATAAAAAAAAATTGAAGATTTTCCCTCCAATCTTATTTTTACCTCACTCAGTTTCATTCAAATTGTTCTCCCTGTGACTTCCGTATCGGGAGCTCCGCTTTTAGGCAGTGCCTAAATATATATATTAAAATTTTAATTACTACTTTTAAGGCTATATATAATATCTCGCCTAGCTACATTAGTAACTTAGYGTCTATTAAGTCCTGATCTGTTTATTCTCTCAGATCGAAAAATTCGTTATTTTTAGACCGTCCCAAGGGGCGTATGCTTTCTACATTAGGGGCTCGTTCTGTTTATGCTGCTGCCCCCACATTATGGAACAGCCTTCCTATGAACAATTCCTATGTGACAAATTCACACAAAACTTTTAGCAAAACGTTTAGCAAATTTTTTAGGCCATACTTCGTTGCCTTTTTAGTACTGATAGGAATGGCATTTTCATTTTTTCAATTTCCTCATCGGAAATTGTAGCAAAACGATTGCCGGCAGATGCGATTTTGAGTTGCCGACTCAATATTCCGAGATTCAGAGGTGAATAACGTACACTATTCACCTCCAATTAACCAATGAGCGCGCGCGTTCTTAGGAAGTACACAAGTTGGTATATGCTAATGATTTTTATATATATGCCAACGTTTTTTGAGGTAAAACTTACTAAATATTGAGGTGCTCTAAATTCCTTTTTGGTGTTCATTTTGACACAACTTCTTGTTTTAAAGGCGATATATAGGATTAAGTGATCAGTAAGTTCAAAATTGGCCTGAAGTATAAAATATATTATTATATAATTACCAATGAAATATCTATTTTTCTCTATTTCGAAAAATTGATATCTTCACACGTGAAAATAACATGTTATTTTCACGTGTGAAAACACAGGGAACCCGATTAAATTCAAATCAACTAAAAAGTGTGTTACACACCACAGGCGACCAATAAGAAATAAAACATCAACGGTTATTGATTTAATCGGCTATCAGTTTACAGCACCGACCTGATCACAGCTTATGTAATGGGAAACCGATCACAACTCAGAAAACCCACAAAGAGCAAAGTTACTTTTCTGAAAGAAGCAAAAAAAATATAGCCGGGTTCCCTGTGGTGAAAATAACACCATTGCGATGGCTATTCAAAAATACACGGAAAGAATTGCCTGAAAAAGTCAAAATATACTTCATTGATAATTATATAATAAACAGAACATTACATGGGCGCTTGGAGATACGAAATATCCTCTATATATTAAGTAAATAAATAATTAAATTGGATTTAGCGTGGCACTTTACAGAGAAGTTCTTTGTCCACTGAATTCCACTTGGAATTTTAAAAGTTAACTTTTGTGGAGGGAATGAAACTGGAAAAGTGTGAAGAAAAAAGCAACTCTGCTCATTTAAGACATAGAGACTAGTAATTGAACCTGTGATTTACTGGGATGGCATGATAGATTCTAGCTATACTAGATAGATTCTAGCTCACTGACCTGTTTCAGCCCATTCCTCATCTTCAGATGCAGCTTTGATAACTTTTTCACGCTCATCTCCATTTTTGTATGACATTAAGGTGTGAACTAAAAGTAAAAATTAGGACTTGTATTAGTCTTTTGAGAACATCAGAAAAAATCTGTTAACATTTGGTGAATTACGATTTCAAGCTCACGCCCCCTCATGTGAGCCCATACAAATTATGTCTCAAAAACACAGTTTTTGGATCTTTTATCAAAATAATGACTATTTAGGCAACAAACAGAAGTGGATTCAGTTAATTCAACTATTTACGGACTAAATTATATGGTTTAGCTTGGATTCTATTTTTGCTGATTTTATAAGCTCATACTATCTGTTGGCCTATACATTCGCCTCTTATGRTTTCTTAGGTTTCGTAGCCTCGAAAACATGCTAACTACAGTAGTTCGCGAATAATAGAAGATTTACGGGGTCATTTAGGATGTTGTGTCACGCAGTTTACTTGTGCTATATAACTTTACTTTTAAGAACAACCTTTTGCTTTGGAAA